ATTTTATTAAAAATTTAAATTAAATTTTAATTTTTACTAAAAAAAATCTAATTGGGTTTGTATTTTTTGGTTAAACCAAATTTTTTTTTACCAATTTGATTAAGGGTATGTTTGAGTTAATTTCTTACAATTTCAGCTTTCTAACACTATTCATATTTCATAAATTTAAATTTTTATTTTAAAAATTTACATTTTTAAACTCTTTTTTTTTTTACCTTTAAAAGACTTTAAATGGTAAAAACTCAAAAATTTCAAATTTAATCTTTTCATAAACTTCCTTTTACTTAGTTTTTACTCAATTTTTCTTATTTCTAAAAGTAACTTTTAAATTTTTTCTCTAATAAAAATTTAAATTTATCACTCATAAACAGTATAAAAAAAAGTAAAAACTTTTATAAACTAATCCAAACATGTTCTAAGTTGGAAACTTTTTTCAATTTATGCGGTTTTAAGACAAAAAAAAAAAAAAAAACCATAACTGAAGTAAATTTTAGTTTGACAAGTTCGGTTTAAAATAAAAAAGTGGCATAACCATTTAACCAAATCAAAAATTAAATTCGGTCAAGTGATTCAGGTTTTCAATTTTGAAGAGAAATATACCAAGTCATAGTGTACGGAAAAAAATAAATTCCATAAATTTTGTGACTTGTGAATACAATTGACATTCACATCTAAGAAAACGAAAAATTATAAGTAATAATTTGCGGGACGAAATTGGAGGATGAAATGGGGGACAACAAGAGAAGCTAGTTAGATACAAAATTACCAATTTAACCTACTTCACTTGTTCTCTCTAATTTCGCCCCTCAATTTCGTCCCGCAACTCAATTTCGTCCCGCAAATCATTATTCAAAAATTATATATACCATAGATATAGAGAAATTTCTTAAAATTCATATTAGTACATGTATTTGAATTCTAATTTCAAACAAAATTAGTGTTACAAAATATTATATAATAATTTAATATATTTCAGACAAAAAATTAAGATATTTTAACAAATTGATAGATTAAGTACTATTCTAAAATTATATATACCATAGATATAAAGAAATTTCTTAAAATTCATATTATTACATGTATTTGAATTCTAATTTCAAACAAAA